ATAGGTTTTGATTTACCTTTGTAACATTGTAAGCATAGTTCATTTAAAACAGGTGTCTGAAAAGTTCCATATCTCGATTTTTTAAAATAAATTTATTTATTTACATTCATTCACTGTACATCAGTACAACATACAAAATGAGATTTTCCATCCATAGTACACTGTATATTGGCTCAATCAAGCACATCAGCATATATGTTATCATCAACAAATAATTTTCCATTTCTTGTTTCCTATATGTTTTGTTTTTTTTTTTACTTTTTAAAAAATTTATTTTATTTTTTATAATAATTATTATTTTTTATTAATTAATTAATTAATTTTTAATTTCATTTTCTTCCATACATTCAATCACGTTGTTATTTGTCTTACAAAATGGACACTTCAACAGGCTAACATCTCTCAATTTTGTGCAGCTATATCTGTACTGACTTTGGTTTATATTGATTCTTGTTCATGCTACACTATTGTTTTATTTTATAGTTAATAAATTTTGCTTGCTATTGTCTTTGAAAAATATGTGCGTGCATTTTCTGAGACATAAGATGAATTTACTCTCCTCCAGAGACATTTTGGGTTTGCTTTTCTCACTCTCTGGTGCATGTTAAGTTTGGACCACTTCAAATAAGGTTTAAATTCTGAGAGTCCCTAGTTCAGTTATACCTTGCTTGATGTGCAAAGACATAGGCGACCTGGTCTTTCATTATAACTAATGAGGAGGCTTCATTTAACTTTTTAAATTTTCTTGACTTTTTTTTTTCTCTCCCACTTGGTTCAGAGCTATAGCAGCCCATTCTACAGTTTTTAGAATTTTAAGAAAGTGTAGCAAGATCAAACTCTAATTTGTTCTCACTCTCCAGGTGAAGTTGAATGTAAGTCTTCCGCGGGATTCCCAGCAAACTGTAACAGTGGATTCTGTCTAACAAAGGACCTTATTAGCAATATTGACTCATGCCTTCTGTACATAGACAGCTTTGGTACTATAGTATTCCACTTATCTTTGCCTATTACTAAAACTATACCTTCTACAAGTGTTTTAAAATTGCTTTATTAATTTTTATCCAGGTCCACCATGATGTGTTCAAGTGTGATATCATTTTTGCCCTCATGGAAGCAATTCAACTTTCTTTCATTTGGATTCTGTAACATCCTCAGCCATTGTACCTTCAAATATCGAGTCTGTCCTGTTTTGTGTCTCCTCTCTCTGGAACTCCAGTTACACTTATATTAGACTTTTAAACTTTGTCCTCATGATTTTTCCACTTCACCTTCATATTTTCTACTCTTTCTATGTGTCACAATATTAGCTTCCTTTAGCTTCCAGAACAAATGAGAATACACTTGGTGGCTTCAAACAAAAGAAATAGATTATTTCATAGTTCTGGAGGCCCGAAGTCCAAAATGAGGATGTTTTCAGGGTTTGTTCTTTCTAGAGCTCAAAGGAGAAGCTATTTCATATCTCTCTCTCTCTCATTCTCTCTCTCAGCTTCTGATGGTTGGTGGTAATCCTTGACATTGCTTAGCTGAAGACACATTCCTCCAGTCTCTGCCACTTTCCTCACATGCCATTCCCCTCTGGATCTTCTCTATATCTCTTTTTAAATCTCTCTCTTCTTTCTCTTATAAAGATACCTACCAGACATTGGATTTAGAGCTTGCCCTAAATCTAGGATGATCTTATCTCAAGAGCCTTAATTATATCTCAAAAGATCCTATTTCCAAATTAAGTAACATTAATAAGCTACTAGAGACTTGAATCTGTAATATCTTTTGGAGGGATACATGTTAATTCACTATAGCTACATTATTATTAATTTACTCCTCTTTTATTCCTGTTTATTAAATCTCTTTTTAGCTGTACGATATCTGCTGGTAAATACATGACATGCAAGTTTTTTAAAGTTTCTATTTTTATATTTTTATTTTTTGAAATGCTTAGACTTTATTTAGTTTCTTCTCCAAACATACTTAAAATTTGTTCTTTATTTTTCAAAGTATAGAAAAACATGGCTATTTTATATTTTGAGTCAGATTACCCCAATATCTGAAGTTTCATGGATCTGTTTCTATTGGTTGTTGTTTCTCTTGGTTCATAGTACTTTGCTTGCTTTTTTGTTCTTTTTAAATAACTGATTGAGTTATGATTGATATATGAAAAGCTGTTAATGTCTACAACTTTATGAGTTTGAAGGTAAATGTATACCTATAAAACCATAGCCACAAAATATGCCATAAATATACTCATCACTTCCAAGTTTCCACTTGCCCTCTTTATTAATTAATTAAATTTTTGATAAAAACACTCAGAATAAGATCTATCCTATTGAATGGAGGATTGTGGTGTGGTCATCCCCCTGGGGGAGGGGTGATTTCTTACTTTCTGTCTCTCTGTCTCTATCTCTCTGGTGAGTGCATGTACTCTGTAGCAAAAATCTCTCTTAAAAAAAAGATCTATCCTGTTAGCAAAATTTTAAGTATACAGTATAGGATTGTTAATTATAAGCACTACTCCATACACGAGAACTCTAGGACTTATTCACTTCGTAGTACCAAAACATAAGCATTTTAACTAACACCTCTCATTTCCTCTTGCCCCTACTCCTGGCAGCCAACATTTACTCTGTTTCTATGAGTCTGAATATTTTTTTTTAGAGGTTTTTGTTATAGGGCGAGCATGCTCGCCAGACAGACAGAGAGAGACAGAGAGATAGAAAGTGAGAAATCACCCCCAGGGGGGATGGCCATGCCTCAATCCCTTCTCCTCCATTCTCCTCTTGGGATCTTGGGCACGCACGTACACACGCTCGGCGTGAGTTTTAAGTCACTGGATCTGGGACGTGAACCATGGTCAACTACATGGGAGTCCAGTGACATAGCCATTACACTAACTGCTGGTCCCAAGTCTGAATATTTAAACATACCCATATAAGTGGTTCCCTAATTTGGCAAATTACCTCAAATTCCTCTTGCCTATTTGGTTCCTACCATTACTTGGTTTCTGACCTGAGTATTCCTTACTTTCTTTCCAGCTTAATGGTTCTCTCTCTCTCTCTCTTTTTCTTTTTAAGACTTTTTTAAAAAAATTTAATTTTATTTTTCTTTCTGTAGGGTGCATGCACTCACGGGAGAGACAGAGAGAAACAGAAAGCAAGAAATCACCACTCAGAAGGATGTTCATGCCATAGTACCCTCTCCTCCAATCTCCTCTCAGGATTTTAGGCACATGCGTGCACACACACACACACACACACACACACACATATACACACACAGTTGCCCATTTGGGAGTCCAGCAATGTAAATCCCACGCCATCTACTGGTTCGTCTTGAAGATTTTATGTAGCATTTTAGTTGTTTACCTTGGGAAGTTTAGTCTAATAACATTGTTTTCTGTCTTATCAGGAATAAAAATATATTTCTTTTGAGTCAATTTGGATAGTTTCTATCACTGTAGAAAATTATCTGTAGCACCTACATTTTTTTTTTTTTGGAGAGGTTTTACGCTATAGGGCGCGTGCGCTCGCCAGACAGACAGAGAGAGACATAGAGACAGAAAGTGAGAAATCACCCCCCAGGGGGGATGGTCACGCCGCAATCCCTTCTCCTCCATTCTCCTCTCGGGATCTTGGGCACGCACGCACACATGCCCGGCGTGAGTTTTAAGCCACCGGGTCCGGGACACGAACAGCGGTCGACTATGTGGGAGTCCAGCGACATAGCCATTATGCTAACTGCTGGTTCCCTGTAGCACCTACATTTTTATCCTAAATGATCAGCCTTAATTTGTTTATCATATTGTCTCATGGACTTTGAAATCTTTATTGTGTTTGTAGATATGGCCTAATTTTTATATTGTTAGAGTACACATGTGCTTGCCAGAGAGAAATAAGAGACAAGGAGGGAGAAAGCAACCCCAATGGGGTGAAGTCATGCTGCAATCCCTTCTCTTCCTTTTCTCCATCCTGGGATTTAGGCAATTATGCACATGCACCTGGCATTTTTTTCAAGTCACTGGGCCAGGATTCAAACCATGGTCAGTTATATGGGATCCTTTTTCCTTAACCACTGTGCTGCAGGGCCAACACTGGCCTTATTCTATTTATTTTTTTAAGAGGGATTTTTGCTATAGTTGTGTGCTCTTATCAGAGAGACAGAGACAGAAAGTGAGAAATCATCCCAGGGGGGATGACCATGCTGAAATCTCTTCTCCTCCAGTCTTCTCTCAGGATTTCAGGCATGCATGTACACACACTGGCATGAGTTTCAAGTCACCAGGTCAGTGACTTGAACCTTGCAGCCTACCATGTGGGAATCCAGCGACACAACCACTATGCCATTTGCTGATTCCAAATTTTTACTTACAATTAATTTGTATCTTATCTTTTTTCTCTCTAACTTGATCAGAATGATAATTAATAAAGAGAGCTAAATTGGCAATTACAATGTGATAAAATCTATTAGATATAATATCTATGAATGTGATAAAATTTTTGAAGTTTCTATGAGTGAGTTATAGAGGTACTTTCAAGAGAAATTTTGTCAAAATTTAAATGGAAAGATGCAAGTAAAGCTTAGCATGGTCCCTTATACTTGGAAAGACTTAATAAATATTAAGCTTTATAGAAACAGGGAAACTTTCCTTAGAAGAGGGAGAGAGTAGGAATTATCCAGGCAAAGGGGATCAGTGCCTGAGTAGGAAAACCCAATTATTACAGACAAAGCCTAGCACAACTCAATAAACATTAATATAATGAAAACATAGAATGCAAGAGTAAGAATGGCAAGAGTCAAGGCTGGAGAAGCAAGAGTCATACTATTTAGGGTCTGGAAGACATAATACATAAATCTAGAATTTATTTTAAGAGCTACATAGTCATTGTAGAATTTCAAGCATACAAATGTCCTGATTGTTTTAGAAATATTATTCTGGCTACTATATGGCTAATAGTTTAGATAATTTAGAGCAGATTGTGGACTATCGAAAGAATACAAACAAGAAGTGACATGAGACTGGATGAATGTTATATTTGGTGGTTGACTCTTTAGAACTTCATGACTGGTTGTTGAGCATAAAGGATAGGCTAACACTAAGGACAAAGGCCAGATTTTGGCTAGAAAAATTGGGAGAATGATGTTAGCATTCACTGATATGGGGAACAAAGAAGAGAATCCGGTTTGAAAGATACAATGTTATATTTCAATTTGTACATGTTGAATGTAAGATATTAGTCTGGAAATTCATAATGTATTTTCCTGGTTTTCTGTGCAAAAATGTGTCATGACTTTCCTGACTATCCAATACTTTAAAGGAAGGCAATAGCACCTATGCAAAGCTTTAAGAACAGAAACTAATTATCTCCATCCCTTTCTCTCTGACTTCTCTACATTTTATTCTATGTTAGTTATGTTCTAATTTTCTACTTTTCAAGCTAGGGTTATCATGTAGACAATCAAATTTAGTTTATAGACAATTCAATTTAACTTCTTTTCATAATCCAACAAGCATGATGTGGTTGGCAACCTCTTAGATGGTCTCCAATGAACTCCACACCCTAGAATTCAAAGTTTTATTTAATATCTTCCCCTTTAGAATGGGTTGAATCTTTCAACTCACTCCTGAAGAATAATATATGGCAGATCTGATGTAAAGGCACATCTACATTAATTTATAAAAGGACTATGGTTTCTGTTTTGGGTGCTGTATTTTATGGTCTTGCTCTCTTGGGTGTCTTGCTATTGGAAAAATCAGTCGCAATATTATAAGGCAGCCCTAAAGAAAAGCACAGGTGGCAAACAACTGAGGTTTGAAAACAGCCAAGTGAGAGAAATTGAAAGTGAATTCACCACCAACTGAGCCTTGAGGTGACTAGTGTCCTGCTTGACATCTTACTTGTAGTTATGTGAGAAACCATATATCAGAATCAGCCAGTTAAGCTGCTTCCAGATTCCTATCCACAAAAACTGTGACCTAATAAATGTTTGTTGTTTTCTGCCATTATTTGTTATGCAGCAGTAGATAACTAATATACTGATTTTCTGGTAGGGCAGTCAGGGTGAATCATGGAAGTGGTGTTTGAGATTTAAGAATAAGAATGTTATGATTGAGACCATAACTATTTATTCATTAAAGAATTATAACAGTATATAAAAAACCTTATTAAAGAGAGAAATAACACTAGAACTCTTCTGATGATTATCAGTCAACTCACAAATACACTGGCACAGCTGAATTCCTCTATGGCTGCATAAATCAAAGGCTAAGAGATTGGTTGAAGTTAGGAGATGAACTACTAGATAGTTATTTTCTGGAAAGATTTAGATTAAATTAAAAAGACCCTTTAATCAAAATGAAACCTTATCCTTTGGAGAAAGAGTATTTTATCATTCTTGTAGCCATGATGAGCCCTACAGAGGAAACAGAGGATTGTAACAATGATCTGGGGAATCTGGCTGTGCAACGCCCTCTAGCTTGTCTCTTGCTTGACTTCAGAGGGCAGAATGGGCAAGACTGAGAAACTAGCAACTGATCTGAGAATGTAAAGATGCAAACATTTGTATCCTGGACCTGCTTTTTGATATTGAGCCACATGTGCCACAGACTTTCTTGGTCTCTCACGTCTAAAAACATTCAGGCTGTTTCACAACCCTGAGAGACATGGCTCCTGCCATCAGTGGGTGAAAGGTTGTCTTGCTGCCTGAAGTGGGAAGTATCTGACCAACACCCTCTTCTCTTGTTGTATAAGACAGGGACCCAAACAGGAAAGAGATGGGATGAGGACAAAGATTCCAGTCCAGCAAGTGATCATTTAAGACTTCACGCTATAAATGGTTTGGGATATCCAGAGATTAAACAAGTTTATCTGGCACAGGACAGTTGCTGGTCACAGCCCTAGAGCTTGGCTGGTTTTATCAATCTGGCAGTTCAGGGTCAGTGCAAAGGACATCCCCAGCACCTGAGAAAAGAGTTGAAAAAAAAAATGTGAGGTCTTCATAAGAGGAGACATTTCCCCTACAACTCCTAAAATTGGCCCTAGAGTAAAAATATCATCTTATGACACTCAGAATTTCCCTCCCACCATCACTTTCAGGAGTTCTATTCTGTAGTTTAAAAATAATGAGGGAAAAGAAGGCATGATAGTAGAATGGACAGTGTTGGGACATCCTCTGTCTTCAGAAGTCCTGATGCTAGCACAGTCAAGTTCTGTTTACTCAACACTGAACTAAATACCTATGCCCTATGTTTCATTGGTTTCCAAGCAGAGAAAAAAGCATTTTTCTTTTAATTTTTTAATTTCCCCCTGGAGCTTCTTGATTAAATCTTAGCTAATGTGTGATGTGCCCAACACTTGGGTAAAAGAATGTTAGAAACATTACATAATTAAAAATAATGTAAAAGTACCTTCAATTCGCTCTTTACTTGTAAAACTAAGCACAGAAACAAAGAACTCAAATTATAATTTTCATCATCTATCCCTTAGCAGACAAGGTCAATTTTGAAGCAAAATGTTTCATCAATCACAGTCCTTTCCAGATCAGCTGAGTCAGGGGCAAAAGTGGGGTTCTGCTTGGTGGCTTATAATTTAGTATGATTCGCCTACACCTCAGGGATAATTTGACCGGGTAGATATACTCATACCATATTTTCTGTGTCTTGAATCAAATTGGTAATATAATTTGCTACTTGACTAGGGGAATTCGTAGTAATAAAAACAAGCTAACATGTATTGCACACATACTATGTAATTGGTACTATTTTAAAATCCTAACAAAATTTATGTAATCCTCACAACACTCTTGTGGTTAAGCTCCTACCTGGATCACACATACACAGATGGTGATGATCCCAATATACAGGAAATTGGAATGAAACCACATCTCTGCCTTCTCATAGCAACCCTAGAAGAGATAACAAGTACAAAAATTACACTGCTCTATAATTCAACTTTATCAGGATTATTTGGGGAGACAGTTTATGTTTTACCTTATATTATGCAAAGAGACTTAGGTCAGAAAGTTTATTTGCATAATAACATTTTCTTTGCATAATAATATTTTCTTTGCATGGGTGAAGAAACAGTATACAGTAGAGAATATAAACTAGACACTTTTCCTGTGTTATCATTATGTTGGCACCTAATGTGGAGATCTTAAATCCTTAGCCACAAATTAAATTTGCTCCCAAATGGAGCAGAAGTCCTTGTGTTTTTTTGAACACTCAGAGCTGACCTAATATCAACAAATGGGAATGTAGGTTATGCAGTTCTAGGATTGGTTTGCAATTCTAGGATTGGTTTGCATTTTAGTTTCTGCTTCAACAACCAGTAAATCTATAGTAGGCCAACCAAGCTCCAAGGCAGTTGTTTATTGGTAGTTATCCTAGTCTTTATCCACAGGCCCGAAAAAATTCTGGAGATTTACGAATCACCTCAAAAGTGGAATAACATTGGTGAGGATAGGACCTTAGGGATTTCTGTATTATAGCTGGAAGATAATTTTGGTTTCTTTCCTGAGCCAGTTCTGGAGGTTCAAATTAAGTGGGAAAGTGCTTCAGCATTTCTACCAAATCTCTGTCTCCCAACTCCTTGCTTCTTCACTTATGACTCATTTCATTAAGTGGCTACGTTCTGCCATCTTCAAAGAAGTAGAGCAGAGAAACTGGTACAAGGAGAAGCTTTTCTACCTCAGCCCTATAAATTTCACTTTCTACCACAAGAAGACCTACTTGCTCTTAAGAAAATACCTAGACACTCTTCTGCCATTTTCATATAAACTGCTCTAATATTTTAGTGCAACAATTTTCTTTTCAGTGTGTCTAGTCTAAATGAGCTCATTTCTATGTTTTTATCATTTTTCTTGTACTCAGAGTTGTCACGCTGGTCTCTCCTTTCTTCAGGGTTCACTTTTTTCTGGGTGGGAGATCTAGGTACTCTGTGACTTGAGAAATGTACCAAGTAACAAAAGTTTAAATAAAGAGGCCAATAACAGGAAAGTTGCTCAAAAAATTACCTGAACTTGTGGATCTGAGGGGCACGATTCTGGTGGGCTTCCATTCCAATCCCTCGTACCATTTACACCACAACATTGCAACTACAAACCAAATCCCCCCCAAAATAAGATAGTTAGAAAAGAAAGAAAAGAAAACTGGGCTTTGGAGGGAAAGGTAGGGCCTTTAAATCTGAATCTATAGGAGAAAGTCCAGAATTGACATAACTACTATGGACTTCTTGAAACAAAATGCTTTCATGTATTTTACACAATTTTTTTCACATAAGACACCTATAAAGAAGGCATGTGTAATTTTTTCCTATTTGCAAATCAAGAAGTAGGCACTCAGATGACTTTATAATGGAAGGACAAGACTGACTGCACCTGGATCCACCATCTAGTTTTTAGATCATAGAAAGCAGGACAATCAGACATTATGTGCCTGCTTACATGATGCAACCGGAAATGCCAGTATAATAGTCTTACTACAAAAGGAAACTGCCTCAAGTCTCTAGATTCATGAGGTTTATGGGAGGCAAAGACCCTCTGACACCAAAATACCTTGAGGAAACAATTAGATCCAGAAAGTGGGAAATACTATAGGACAAGAAACCTAATTTCATTCCATAAATCAGTAACATGAACAGAGAGATACTGTTATACATTAAAATAGACTCAGATGTGTCATCCAAATATAACAAGGGGATCTCGTATAGATCTTGGTTTGAAATTAATTGAAAACAATTTTTTAGATAATTAGGGAAATTTGATTATAAACTGTTGGTGATATTTAAAAATTATTGTAACAGTTTAGTGTTATGACAAAAAAATTTTTAGGCCCCGCCTGATGGTGGTTGGTAGCAAGCTGAACTGCAATAGAAGTCACATGGTCCACTATAGGTTCGCCTCTCCAGGTTCATTTGGAAACATGCCAGGCACATAAACATGTACCAAAGATCCTGAAGTGTTGGAGTGCTGGGTAAAGGGGATCACAATGTAAAGAGACCCTGTAAGGGTACATCTCTCTTTCTCTCTCTTTTTTCTGAGAATATATGTGCTCTCTATCATGATTAAAATAAGCTTCAAAGCACGGTTTTTATTTTTATATTTAATGGGTGATAAAATGTAATGTCTAGTATTTGCTTTAAAATAGTCTAACCAAAACAAAGTATAGGGGATTAGATGAGATGACATGGGCAAACTGTTAAGTGTTGAAGCTGGGTGACATGTACCCCGAGATTCACTTTTCTATTATTCCCTTTATTTTTGTATATGTCCAAAAATCATATACTAAAACTATTTCTAAACTGAATTGGAAAAAAAAAACCAAAACAATCAAACCAGAAAAAAAAAAAAAAAGAAGAAGAACTGGGGATCTACAGAGGTTAGATGATTTTCCCCAGGCTACTCATTATGGTGTGTAGTCTCTAATCCTGTGCTGTTGTTTTTCAACTCCACAGTCAACTCTCACGTGGTTATAGTGACATACTTTGAGACATAGATTTTGTCAGTACAGGGCTCCCTGACTCTTCTTTATCTTCCAACACACAAAGGCACGAATGCAGCATTAATGTATGTTTTCATGGGAGCCAGCAGGTGGCATGGAGGTGAAGGTGATTGATTTCACATGACTGACTACTTGGTTCAAGTCCCTGACTGGTAGCTTAGAAAACACAGCTGGTGTGGGCATATGTGTCCAAAATCCCCAACAGAGAATGGAGGAGAAGAGATTACACCATGGCCATCCCCCATGGGCAGTGCTTTCTCACTTTCTCTGTCTCTATATAATTCTCTCTGTCAAGCAATGTGCCCTACAACAAATTAAAAAAACAAATTTATGTTTTTAGGTGGGAACAGGAATGATGGAATCTTGTGGGGCAAGGTAATTAACTTAATTGGGCAGGTTAGATATTCAACAGAGATTTCTTAAATTATAAAATTGCCCTTTTGAGTAAAATTTTGGAAAATACTTAAACCAACATAGTATGATGTGTTTGGATCTGAATTGGTAAAGGATGAAAAAGAATGCAGAGAACTTTGTATCTATCAGATTGATTCCTGTGCTCCCCTGTTCATGATAGCCAAGGAATTATTTAAGACCTCAGGTCTGTGAACCGCAGATTCTGAAACTTTCAAGAAATGAACTAGCCTTTAGGGACTGAGGCTGAAAAATGAAGTCTGGCCTGATCTGAGGAAGATTTCATCTGTACTCACAAACGACTGGATGGAGTCCCACGCCGCCTTGGTGCTGTTGTCTGAGTGGTAATGGTGGATGCTGTCAGTCAGGCCATCAGCTACATACTTACTCAGCTGGGCAGAACACATTCCAGCAAAAGGGACATTATAAAAAGTAGGTGAGTTCGAGAAATAAGGAATTTCTAGTACAGGTTAGTAGTTACCCTTGATCCTCCCTTCCAAAGGGTCTTCTCAGAACTAAGAAAGTGGAGCCAGCAGATGGCGTAATGGTTACATCATTGTACTTCCATGTAGTCGACCATGGCTGGAGTCCGAAATCCAGCAGCTTGGAACTCACACCAGGCATATGTGCATGTGTGCCCAAAATCCCAAGAGGAGAATGGAGGAGAAGGGATTGTGGCATAGCCATCGCCCCTGAGGAGTGATTTCTCACTTTCTGTCTCTGTCGCTTCAGCAAGTACACACATCCTATAGCAAAAATCTTTCTAAAAAAAAAAAACTGAAGGAAGGGAATTTATAGATGAGATATTCTGGAAAGAAGTGGTAAGTGTTAGTTGGCATTGAAGGAAGAAGTATGTAGTAGATTATTGTCTCTCCAGAATTTTAGTTTTACAATGGAGGAAGACAGGCAATGAAAGCAAGTACTATCCTTAGTCACTGAGACAGATGTTCTCAACTGCCAAATATACAGTGAAGCAAGTTTCACTGTTCTTTCCAGTCATCCTCCAAAGCACCACTCAAATGCAATTTCCTTCATGAAACTTTGTCCTCAATTCCAATTCATCTCCCTTTGCCTCATTCTCCCACTTTATTTCTATTACACGACTTATTTTTTCCCAACTTCTCCTCCACTTCATTCTCCCCACTCTTTTTTTTATTTTTTATTTTTTATTATCATCATAATCTTCTTTAATATTACATTGGATTACATATAACTTTACAGTGTATTACATTGCTTTTTCAAAAGGGAATGCCATGCATGTCAGTCAATACAGAGACATTAATCTCCCCACTTCAACATTCAATATCTTTTCTATGTTTTCCCCAGTCAGTATTATTATTATTCTAATTATTTTTTTTAAAACAGTCAATCGCTATTTCTCATTTTGCTTGTAAAAATTCTTTGCCATTGTGAAGTTCTTCTCAGACCAATCCAGTTGAGAATACTATACATGTCATCATCAACAGTTAATAGGCCATATCTGTTTCTCACTAACGTCCTGCCTCTCTATTATTCACTTGCTATCTTTCTCTATCCTCTTCTCTTCACCTCCCCCATTCCACACTGTCCTATTCTCATTAAGTACCTTCACTGTTTTTATGTCCTCCAATTTTTTGCTCTCTACAATAGAGTGCAGATAGTCGAAATTTTCCCCAATCTTTACAATATTATACAAGTTGTGTTTTTCCTCACTTACCTTGTTTTCATACAGGAACAGCAGGATGGCCAAGGTCACCTCAGCAAAGAGGATAATCAGCAGCAGGACAAAGAACTAGGACAAAGCAGAGATGTACTAACAGCACTGATCCCAGGTCTCCACCCACTCCCACTCTGCTCTAGGAGCAATAAGGTAGATCTCTGCATAGGCACAGGATATTCCTGTTCCTGGCTCCTTCAGCCTTTGTAAGCCTTCTCTAGTATTGTGAGGAATATGTATTCTTTTTCTGCAACTGGACTCTGGTGGGCAGATTAACTATCTTCAGACTTTGTTCTCTCCTATCCACATTTCCTATTGCCTAGAAGAGCAAGTTGTGCGCATAATACATATTCAATGTCACTTGAAAATATATGATGTAATTTTGGTGTCAGCCTATTGAAATAGCTGAGCAAAAGGCTAGCTAACTAAAACATGTATCTTAGAGTTTGGAGCCTTATCTTTTCTACAAGATCAGGGCTAACTCAGAGTGGAGGACTGAGGGTGGTAGAGGTTAAAAGAAGCCCTGTACAGATGGAAGAAAGAGAGGCTCTCATCATGATTCTAACTCATATTTGCCTCCACTTTTTGAGATTTACTCCCTTTATGCTAATCACATACAACAGAAAATATATTTTACTTATTCCTTCTCTTTTATCTTTTTTACTCCAACTCTAATTTTTATTGCTTAAAACCTTTACTTCATGTCTATTTTCTCCCATCTTTTGCCATTAGTCTGAGAACTATCTGAGGACAAGATTTTTTTTTCTTTCTCTTGGCTCCAGTTGAAGAACTGACCCATAATTCAAGGAAGAATCAAGATAGTTGGGAACCCACACCTATGGTTAGAGTGGCAGTGTTACAACAAACTCTGTTCTGGGCATACAGAGACATGCATGCCTAGTGCTTATAGGTAAAACCTAGAACTGAAGTTACACCTGAAGATAGTTACCTGGCAGGGAACAGTGGGAAAGCTCTAGCATCTCCCATATTCAACCTCAGCGGCTGAGCCCAGGCCCTTGCCTAAGCCGGGTCATTCATGGGGTCTACATGGGGTATCATGTAGATTCAAATAAGGAAGAAAGGTGCCAGGCTTAGAAAAACCTAGTAATTATCTTCCCATAAGTAAGTAATTCTGAGTAGGATCATGAAAATATTTACTTTTGAAAGGAGGATTTAGACATATGGATGATTCTTTTTTTTTTTTTTTTTTTTTTGAGAGGTTTTTGCTATAGGGCGCATGTGCTCGCCAGAAAGACAGAGAGAGACATAGAGACAGGAAGCAAGAAATCACCCCCCAGGGAGGATGACCACACCACAATCCCTTCTCCTCCTTACTCCTCTCAGGATCTTGGGCATGCACGTACCCATGCCCGGCGTGAGATTTAAGCCACCGGGTCCGGGACGCGAACCGCAGTCGACTACATGGGAGTCCAGCGACATAGCCATTACGCTAACAGCTGGTCCCAGACATATGGATGATTCTTTCAACTAGATATAAAAAAAATCAAAAGGCTATGAAGAGAATTATAATGACAAGGGTCATTATTGACGGTGTAAAATGAATGCCAACAAGGATAGCAATGCCTTCTCCCATCTATTCCCAGAGTCCAAGTCAGAAACAAAATCCTATTGGTCTGGACAGGCTTGGTTGGTCTGAAGTGCCAATCCCATGTTTCTGTGATTTCCCTGTACCCATAGATATCTACCAAGAAACATTCTGTCTGGGACTTCAGGCACTCTCTCCCCTTCCTGGGGCACTATGTCCGTTGTAAGAACTTACCGACATAAGCAGGCACTTGTTCTCCTTGATGGAGCCCATGCAGCCCAGGAAGGCAACCACCATGATAATGGAGCCCGCAATGACAAGCACATTGCCCAGCGTGAGGAAAGGGAGGTTGTGGAAAAGCACTCCAAATTTGTTGCGAACTAGGAGGTAGATCCCAAAACTCAAAATGCAGCAGCCACAAAACTGAAAGGAAGAATTCACATTGTGAGACAAAATGTGGTTCTTGAGTATCTTCTCATGTTCTCACTCCCTTTTACCATCGGTTCAGTCAAGACTCTCATGAACAACCTCCTAACTTAGTTTCCCTATGATCCCATAGGAAAGGTAATCCTAGCTTTCTTGTGCAGAGTCTCATACCTCATCCTGACCATTTCCAGTCATCAAGGAAAGCTCACTTCTATGAGTCACACAGTATCTTCACCATATTTGGCCTAACTTCTTGCTTCACATACCCTATTCCTTGTCCCCTCAATTGTTCACATATGACCTTCATTTTGGAAACCACGACTGTATAGAGGAGATGTTCTGCTTGAGGAAGTTAATATTGCAGAAAACTAGAGAAGTCAAACTTATGAGAGTCGTCTTATAGACACACAAGGATTAACTCATTCTACTTTTGAAATTCAGCTGTTGAATTTGACACAGTGAAACTTCCCCAGAAAATGTGTCTTTCCTTTCAGCCAGCTATTCTTCAAAGGGGTTCAGGGAGAAAAGTACAAGAGAAAAAGAGGTACTCAATACCCAGAATGGAGAGTCTCAGATTTCTCACCTATAGATGTCAGCTGTGAGCAGTAGCAGTCTAAAGCTCCCAGAGAGAAATGGCACCTCGTTTAATAACTATACAGGTACTTTTTAATTTTACATTTATACTGTGGCAGGTTTGGAAAAGGCAAAAAAATTACTCTTGTTTTGTTCCTAGGCTGGGTATCCTGGACATAGGATGGGCCTCAGGCCTGCATGTCTTGAACTCCACACTAACTCTTCAGTAGAGCAGAGAGAAGGACAACTCAGCTGAGGGGAGGTGAATTTGGTCAGGTTTAGAGGAGACACACTTACCCAAAAGAGCAGGTTGAAGAAAAACAGGACATACTTTAACAGTTTCAAGCTACTCATGCCCATGCTGGGATATTCTTGCCCTGAAAGTAAAAAAAAGAAAAAAAGAGAGAGAGGAAGTAAGTGACCTCCCTCTGCATTGTGGCACCAGAGATCAGAGGGGAAAATTGTTCAAGACTGAAGGATTTTAAATATCACCTTGGTTTTACGTTATGGTTCTCATGAAAGTTTCCCCAAACTTCCTGCATTCTTTCTTTTTCTCTCTTTCTTTCTTTTCTTTTCTTTTTTTGCCATAGGGCACATGTGCTCACCAGAGAGAGATAGAGAAACAGTAAGATAACCAGAGAGAGATAGAGAGACAGTGAGATATCACCCTCTAGGGAGGATAGCCATGTCACAATCACTTCTCCTAGAATTTGGGGCATGCACACATATGTGCCTGGCATGATTTTCTTTTTCTTTCTTTCTTTTTTTGGAGAGGTTTTTGCTATAGGGCATGTGCACTCACCAGAGAGAGACAGAGAGACAGAAAGCAAGAAATCACACCCCAGGATGGATGGCCATGCCGCAATTCCTCCTCCCCCATTCTCCTCTCAGGATCTTGGGCACTTGGGCACTTACGCACATGTGCCTGGCATGAATTTAAGCCACCGGGTCTGGGACTTGAACCACAGTTGACTATATGGGAGTCCAGCAACATATCCATTATGCCAACTGCTAGTCCCAATGCCTGGCATGATTTTCAAGCCACCAGATCTGGGATTTGAACCACGGTTAGCCATGTAGAAGTCCAATCCCTTAACCATCATGCCACCTGCTGGCCCTTTCCTTGTTTTCTTAGTTTCTGAACTGAGTTACCAATGAGCTCATCTTGGACTTGAACTTTTGCTTCACTTCAGCAATCCAAGGATGCTTAACACTGAATTACGCATTTTAGAAAACAGTAGAGCCATTCTTGGAAGAGAGCGAGTCACAATGACACAGATCAGGCCACTGCTTTGGGTCCACATGCAACAGTAATGACTATACTTGGGCATTTAAGAAGGCAGGATGTGAAGTCAGGGACAGGCTGGTCAATTGGTGACACTGGTCTGATCAGGCATTTCCTTAATTGCCCTGAGATTCATACACATACTATATTAGATCTGTAAACCTCTCCACATGAAAGTGACACGAAGGGAGGAACATTCTTATGCCTCATTCATTCTTTAATTACAGAAACATTTATAATATTTTCCCAGGTAAATTGATGATGCAAAATAGGTACTATGGATTATGGTTGCTTATTACTATAGTACTTGAAATATTTTATCTTTTATTGTTTGATATAGCTTATGCAAAGGGCTCAAGATAAAAAGAGTATTATGGGATAGCTATCCTCTAGAAGATGGCAATTTTACAGCAGAGATAAAACCAACAAATGGGGAAGTGAGAAGAGATGGAAATGTGCACTTGATCTTTTTAAAAGCGAGGATGTAATCTTCTCGGTGGACATCAATGCTCAGGCTCTGGTCCTCAATTCAAATTCTAGAGATTCAGATACACAATTCTGAATTTTATTTTAGAGGTAATAATGTTCTATAGAGTGATTCATCTTTTAAAACTGTGCATGAGACTAATATATAAAAAAGAATGTTGATTTATTTTATTTTTCCCAACCAAAACTTTCCCTTTTCCAGTGCATTGGTTGCTTAGTATCATAAACTCTCAGAATGTGACATTTACCAGTCTGCTTTTCCAAATTCTTGTAAATCCCTACACCTTGAGCCCATTGTGTAGGCTTATAAAGCAATAAAATAGAAAATATTTCAAGTCCTACCTTAGTCCATTTTTTGTTGTTATAACTAAATACCACAGACTAGATAATTTATACAGAATAGAGGTTTATTTAGCTCATGGTTCGGGGCCTGAGAATTGCAAGGTAGACAGGCCAGCATGTGGGGAGGGCCTTCTTGCCTCCGCATAACATAACAGAGGGTATCATGTGGTGAGTCTAAGCAAGTATGCTAACTTGGGTCTCTCTTCCTCTTCTTATGAAGCCACTAATACCATCTTGGGGGCCCCACCCTCAGAATCTTATTTAATGCTAATTATTTCTCAGAGGCTTCACTTTGTAATACTGTTACAAGGAGGATGATATTTCATCCTACATTTGGGAGGATACAAACATTCAAACCATAGCAAGTTGCAGAGAATAACACCAAACACCATTGACACTGGAAGACCTTCAGCTGGGCTGATCAAAAATTATTTCATGAAGAAGGTGATATTTGAGTTGACATATTCAAACGATTGTAGTCCCTCTGAGCAACTAAACATTGACTACCGTAACTCATTACACCCTACAACTCTGCTATCACATTTGAGAATTTGAAATCTTGCTAGTCTGAATTTAGATGTGTTACATGTGTCAAATATACACTAGTACTGAAACAATATTATATTAAACATTTTTGTATTGGTTACATGTTGAAATGATAATATAATGGATATATTGAGATAAAGAAAATATAGTATTAAAATTAATTTCACCTTTTTCAGTCTAATTTTTTCATTTCAGTTTTTTTAATACAAAAAAATAAAATCATAATTTGGTATGTGTGGACTAGCAGGGACCAAATTACCCTCTCACTGCAATAGTCAGCAAATATATAGATTATAAAATCATGGCTTGCGAGGCACTGGACATAAGACTACAAAGGTCAGTGTTTCCAGAAAAATGAGAAATAATGTGAGCTCTATGATTATATCAGCAATCATAGAAGACTCCTTGGGTTGAGGAGACAGAGCTGATATTCTGAAAGAATAAGGCAACCAGGGTTCACAGGACAGGATAATAATACAGGAGAGAAATCTGCACAGAGAAAAAAATCTCAGAGATCTGCATATTGATTTTCAGAGAAAAATCTCAGAGATGCCCATATTGATTTTCTACCACTGTTGTAAAAAACTACCACAAACATAATGACTTAAAACAGCACAAATTTGGGACCAGTTGGCATAATGGCTATGTCACTGGACTCCCATGTAGTCGATCACAGTTTGAGTCCCAGACCTGGTAGCTTAACCTCACACCGGGTGCATGTGCGTGCGTGCCCAAGATCCTGAGAGGAGAATGGAGAAGAGGGGATTGTGGTGTGGCCATCACACTGGGGGTGATTTCTTGCTTTCTGTCTCTGTCTCTGTCTCTCTCTGTCTTTCTGGCAAGCACACACACCCTATAGCAAAAACCTCTCCAAAAACAAGACAAAACAAAGAAACAAACAAACAAACAAAAAAACAGGACAAATTTATTCCTTTAAGGCTCTGAGAGTGAGAAGTCTAAATTCAAGTTGTTGGCATGGCTGCATATCTTCTAAAGGGTTCAGGAACACAATCCATTTCCTTGCCTTCATAAGCTTCTATGCCCCTCATACCCCTCCAACCTCTTGATTTTATTATTATTATTTATTATTATTATTAAATCTGCTACTTTTTTCTTCTTTAAAATTTTTTTCTACAGGTCACATACATCTTCCAAAGAGAAAGGGAAAAACAAGGCACACCCCAGGTGGGGGGGGTGGGAGGAGGAGGGTGGGAAATAGTAATGCTACAGTCCCCTCTCCTCCATTCCCCTCTTGGAATTCTGGGCACAAATGCACTCACTCACAAACATCATGTTTTTAAAGTCTCTGGGTCTGGGACTTGAACTGCCTAGTTGGCCATGTGAGATCATCACTTTAATAACCACACCACCGCCTGGCCCCACATCTGCTATTTTTCAACTCTCATCTCCTGCTTCTTTCTCATAGGGAATGTGATTAGATTGCCTGAGGTTGTGAGAAAAGATAGGAGGTAAGTAAAGGGAACAGGGAAGGGTGGGTGAAAGAGAACACGAAGTCCATAAGGATTCTTTTGAGTGATGAATATGTCCATTGTATGACTGCAGTGGTAGATTTATGCGTATGTGTCAAATGACCCTCCTGATTTGTTCCTACCCATCTCTCCAAACAACACATAAGACAGGCAACACTCTGCCTTGTGCTTTAAAATTTAGCCAGCAGCATTGACTACTTATCTTAATGCCTCTTTCCTTATATGTGGTTCTTTGCTGAAATTTGCCCCTTTCTCTCTCTGACCTCTTAATCCAGGTTATTAGTTATCATCCTGGATGGCTCAGTTCAAGTCTTACTTTTCCATGGAGTTTTCTCTCATTGTGTCTAATTCTTCACACCCTGCCCTCACTCCCATCAAGGAGTACCTGAAATACCTATGTATCTTAGTCATTATGCTGACTATTGGGTTGTCAGAAAAGTCATGACACATTTTTGCAAAGAAAAACAGCAAAAACATGTCATGACTTTTCTAACCCAATGCTTTGCTTTGTAAGTGTCTCTTCACTCACTAGAATATAAACTCCTAAAGGTAAAACCTATTCTGTTTACTATTCTGTTTATCTATCTATCTATCTATCTATCTATCTATCTATCTATCTATACACACACACACACACCATTTAAGAAACATATATATATATATAAAATGGATAGATAAAATTGTATGTTTATTGGGTACAGCATGATGTTTTGAGATATAAATACATTGCAGAATGGTTAAATCTATTAATAGCTAATTAATAAATGTGTTACCTAACCAAGATATCTTTTTTTTATTTTTTTTTATTTTTTGATGAGAACAGTTAACATTCTTTAAATCCTTGAAGACTAGCATAGTACCTAATTATACTAAAATAATAACAGTATGATTATTGAATGAATAAATAACTTGACCGTAGCTCATTAACTCCAAATTATGTAATGTAGTGGAAAGGACATGAGACTGCAGCGTCAAGAGCCTTGGTCTTGAGTTTTATTCTGCTAATAAAATTATGTCTGAGCATAGGCAAATAAATAACTTACCCAACAATGAGAGAAAGGAATCAGGCCAGATGCTTTCTAAAGTCCATCAGTTCCAACGTCCTGGGGTCCTATGATAGCTTCTTCAGGCCTGTTTCACCTCATCGTCCACAGAGCATCATCTAGTGGGATGCCCACAAACCTTGGGATATTCCACTACTTTCCCTCATAGACAAGAATAAGAACCT